TATCCATCCATACTACAGTTTATCTGTTATACTCCTTCATAACCTCTTACTATCTATCCATCCATACTACAGTTTATCTGTTATACTCCTTCATAACCTCTTACTATCTATCCATCCATACTACAGTTTATCTGTTATAAACTCCTTCATAACCTCATACTATCTATCCATCCATACAACAGTTTATCTGTTATAAACTCCTTCATAACTTCTTACTATCTATCCATCCATACAACAGTTTATCTGTTATAAACTCCTTCATAACCTCATACTATCTATCCATCCATACAACAGTTTATCTGTTATAAACTCCTTCATAACCTCTTACTATCTATTCATCCATACCACAGTTTATCTGTTATAAACTCCTCTTAAACTGTTACTGCATTATTATATTATATGAATGTAAAAAGTTAAAAAAAGATTTAAATATAGTGTTTAATAGTAAGAACAATGTAAATTAAAAGAGAGAGTGTTTAAGAAAATCCACTGATTAAATAATTAATACTGTGTTAATAATATGAAGTATGTTATTTAGGTTTTAGGTAAAAACAGTCTGATATATTTGAGAATATGGTGTCTAATGGGTGTGATGAAGAATAACTCTCTTCATGTTGTCGGTCCAATAACAGTTTAATGGTGCCTGTAGCTTGTACTTTTTAAGAAGACATTGTCAAGTTTAAATAATCATTAATATTCAGTTTATTTTGTCAAGTATTTTAAATGATACTGCAAAATTCATTAATTTGTTTTTTCCAGTATCATAATATTTCACAGATTTTACAGTTTTCTTATTAATTCAAAGCTCTTTCAAATGTACTTCAAGCTGTGTTTATACTCTACAGTTATGTATGATTAAGTAATATTTTTATTAAGGTTCTGCAATTTCATAATAACTAGTGAAAGTTGAAGTGTTGCGTTTACTCGGAGTTAATCTTTGTGGCCTCGAGTTAATTGAGATAACCTACTTATGTTATCATTTGAGCTACAGCAGTCATGTGTGTTATGTTTTTTCTTGTTGAAATATATATTGTATATAGAGTACTCGGTGGTATATATATATTCTATTTTTTCATAGATTTTATGCACCTTTAAAGTACGGATAATGCACAGTGTAAGGTTTACACAAGAGCTTTATCTCGAAACCTTGTAACAATTGTAACTGTAGCTGCACAAGCTATATGTATCTACAAGTTAATTTGTTTTAATAAAAAATTTAGTGTAGCATTAATCCACGAGTAACCAAACAATAAGCTATTTAGCCTTCTCAGAGTTTTCACGTCCACCTTATTGTGAATGTTTTTATGTATAACTACCATGTGGTTGCAGTAAAACTTTTACACTTGATTGTTGTAAGGAAACCTTTATTTATTTATTTATTGTATCTAAGTGTAAGTTACTTCATTATCCATGATTCATATCTCATCAACATGTATACGTCTAGAACAGGGACCCTCAGGATGTTCAGCATCATGTCTGAGACCCTCTCACCATTACTGAATATCTTAACAGTATTGTGTTTATTATATATTTGCCATAGCTCCCCCCCCCAGCAGTTTTGGAACTCCCATTCTAGAATGTTTTTTTTATGTACCACTTAAATTTAGATTTTGTTCTTCTTATAGTTTTTATGTTTTTAACCATTTTACACCAAAGTCCAAAATGTATCCTTAATCTATATATATATATTTTAATCAACATATTGATCATGAAGTAGTATTTGTTTTTGATTGTCCTGCAGGTAATCGACAATGGCAGAGGCTCATCAGGCTGTAGCTTTCAGTTTTACCATCACACATGAAGGAGTGAACATAGACTACGATAGAGAAGTACTTCATCTTGTATGGCAAAGTGGAGTTCGCTCGATCAAGAAGAGAATTACCAGAATTAGGGTAAGTTTAACATGTTATCAATTAGTGACATATTGTGTGCACACATCATAGTGTTTAATTTAACGAGTAATACTTTCATCATAAAACTGATGACATTTATATATTAAAACTTGAGAGTGAGATAAAGGTACATGTCACACAAATCATGACTCCTTTCTTTTTTTAAAAAAAACAACAAACAAAATTATATGGTTCATTTATCTCCCTTCACTCACCCACTAAACCACATAATCTTATTTTCTCTTTATATTGAAGGTTGAATAAAATAGTTTGTAACATTAACACCAAGCAAAGTATTTGTTCTCTGGTTGAAAGGACACAACTTGGGTAATGGGTTCGAGGTATTCCTTTGTTTGTGATGTTGTTCACATGCATATTGTTTGGTGTATAATAACACTAATATTAATAAGTACAAAATACATTTTCTCCAAAAGTGACTAGTCTTTTAATTTTGAGTAACATCTGTTGATAAGAATCACAATTATGAGGTTGTCTGACAGATACTATTAAATAAATAAGTGATAATTTTTATAGATCATTAATACTAGAATGGAACAATCGAGAGTTACATTAAAGTATTAAAAAAAAATTTAAATTTATGAAATTCAGATTCTTCATCTTGGGGTGTATGTAAGTTAAATGTAATAGTTATAACTTAGGGTGTATGTAAGTTAAATGTAATAGTTATAACTTAGGGTGTATGTAAGTTAAATGTAATAGTTATAACTTAGGGTATATGCAAGTTAAATGTAATAGTTATTTTTTTAGTTAATGAAGTTGTGTGTTTATTAATAAAGTGATGAAATAGTTCAACATCATAAACCATACAGGAGGATAGTCTTTCATCACAAGTTTGAAAGACCATTACATTAGTGTTATTTAGTTTGAGTAAAAAAATGAAGTTAATTGATCCCGTACTGATAGAAATTCATTTCAACTTTTAACTTCTCTAGGTGTTAATATGAAATAAACCATGTGTTTGGATACGAAGTTGTTTGTGTAATGATGTGGTATTTTTTGTTATGTAAATGTAATGTTTTTTTTATTAAATATTTATTATGTAAATGAGGTTCAGAACATTTATTATACATGAAGGTGAAAGTGGCACAAGGTTACCTGCTGTCCTCGATTTAAAATAAATGGAATATATTTGTTACTTGTTCTTCTTTATGGATTACAAAAAAACTGTTGACCATCTGTTTTGTACATCGTTATACATTTATTTTTATCATTATTGACTGTACCATACTTAACTCGTTCTTGAGTATTTGAAATCACTCAACATACACGTCCAATTGAATTGCATGATATTTCTGATGTGCGAAGAGACTATATTGAACTATCTTTCACAAACGGATGTTGAATTTGACTATATAGGGACATGAAGAAAGTTTCCAACTTCCTAGTAATGTTTTGGTAACTCCAGTTTCCATGTAACCTCTGACCTTTACTATCAAGAGAAATCTGCTGGTATTAAAAGAGTATTTATTCAAGGGAATTGTTAAACACATGATGTAGATGTTTCTGTAATGTGCTCGAGTGGTATTGTCTTTTGTGAATTTTTATTTAGTTATGCATTTTTTTAAATTTGGAGTTTCTTACCCTGACTGAATCTTTTTTTTTTCTTATCTAATTGTCCATATTTCCTGGATATTCAAACTATAACTTTTGGAACGTGGAAATGTTATTGAGAAAGGTATCATTTGAAGTCCTTGCTAATACTAACTTCAAATGTAAACCTTACAATAATTTTTATAATATTACAGACAATATCACTGTATAAGATACACTATGTAAGTATTTATTTTTTTATTAAACAAAAACATCACAAGATTTTGATTGAAAATTTCTGTCACAATTAAATTAGTTTCTTAAGGTTTTTATTTTGTGTTCTAACCACACATACATCATGTGTTTATATATGTGTGTGTGTGTGATACAGTTGGAGTTTGTGTGTTTATAGATACAATTTTTTTAAGAATACAGTGGATTAGTAATTATTGTTTTTTGTGGCTAATCTTGGAATGAAATAGATTCTGAATATTTTGCAGTTATGTGTGAAAAAATAAAGTATTTTAAGCGTATTGCACAAATATAGTTTTTGAACTTATGTGGATGTCTTCCATTTGTTGTTGAATAAAACAAGATTTTTAGATGTGATATACTTTGTAATTTGAAATGTTTATCTCAAATAAATTTTGTGCTTTGTGATATATCACATTTAATTTTAACTGTTAGGAACAATTCAAGATGATGAAAATTGTGTATGTTTTTTGTTTAATTTGGTGTAAGTCAGTTGACAGATAAAATATTTTATTGGTAAGCAACAAAATCTAAATAATTTTAGTTAGTGTATCATTTTGGTTATATACATTAAGGTTAACAGTAATACAATCAAACATGAGATTCTTAGTTGTAGGTTTTTACAACACAATTATGTATTGTTGAGTTTAACAGTAAGATTCTCAGTTGTACTGTATTACAACACAATTAAGTATTGTTGAGTTTAACAGTAAGATTCTCAGTTGTACTGTATTACATTAGAATTAAGTATTGTTGAGTTTAACAGTTTAACTCAACTGATGTTTTAAGTTATAGTTGAATTTTGATAATTAGTTATTTACTTACTGACACTTAACATACATGATGTTAGATTAAACCCAAAATATAACAGCTTGGAGATAAATTCATTTCAGTACAATATTGTTTGCATTATATATAGTTATTTTGTAGTTGATATAAAACTAATAAAGTTACATTTAACATGCATACAGTATATACAAGTTAATTACTACATTGTTATTCTTGTAAATATAACTGAGTCATATGAAATGTTTATCCTGGCAGCCGTATGGTTTAAGACACTAAGGTGGCAATGTATGTATTATTAGTTGTGTATGTATAACTCACTGAATAAAAAATTGTTTACATCGGTATAGGAGTTAACTGATATTAATCCATTCATTCCGTTCACATGACCTTGTTTTACAACGTGATCCTTTAACTTAAAGTAAGACTTGAATACTGTATTTTTACAAACTTGGACTTTTGCCAAGAGATTAGGGAACAGAACTAAATTAAGATTGAAAGTGCTATGGTATTGTAGTGGTGGTCTGAACCTGTTTGGAGGAGTATTACCTGGTAGAACTCACTTCACTTGTGTATTTAGATATTTGTTTAGTTGTGTAAGAAGAAGAGAAGTACATGAACAAGTTGTTTACATGTTGATTTAGGTGTTTGTTTAATAGTACTAGAATAAGTGAAGTACATGAACAAGTTGTTTACTGTTCATTTAGGTGTTTGTTTAATAGTGTCAGAGGAGGGGAACTACATGAACAAGTTGTTTACATGTTGATTTAGGTGTTTGTTTAATAGTGCTAGAATAAGTGAAGTACACCTACAAATTGTTTACATGTTTATTTAGGTGTTTGTTTAATAGTGTCAGAGGAAGAGAAGTACATGTACAAGTTGTTTACTGTTCATTTAGGTGTTTGTTTAATAGTGTCAGAGGAAGAGAACTACATGTACAAGTTGTTTACACGTTCATTTAGGTGTTTGTGTAATAGTGCTAGAATAAGTGAAGTACACATACAAGTTGTTTACATGTTTATGGTGTTCATATCAGTCAGTTTAAGTGTGGTCAGTGCTCTACTTTTTTAATACTTAACACACTCTGTGACATTGCATTAAAATATTTATCACACTTTGTGGTAGTTAGTTAAAATATATAACGTACATACTGTAGCAGTTTCCTAGTTTTATGATACAAAAGCGTATGTAACATCGTTACTTCTGTATAGTGTCTCTCATGACAAATTTTGAGTGGTCAGTTGTAGCAACAACCTACATGTGTAGTGTTTGCCAGACCATGTAAAACTTTGTAATATTAACACACCATCTGTCCTGCTCCAACTTGCAGATGTGTGAGCCAGATTGGGGCAATGTTTTGCTATACCTGTCACTTTTTATCGATTTTATTGCTTATTTAATCCAAGATTTTTTAAGGGTGTAATGTGCCCTTATATATTTGGAGTACATTTCACAACTTACTATGACCAACATTTTTTTTATTGATATAAAAAACTTAAATACCTATGTTTCCAGACATAAAACATCTTTTAATATTTTAATGTTTAGAGGGATGGTATGAAGAAAATTCAGATCTATCTCTTGTTAACAGAGATACTGGTTGACAACCTCAATTATTACCATTTTAGCCATCAGATGGCACGATTTGAAGTTAAATCTTTATGTAATTGCCACAGTCTGTCAGACCCTTGAGAATGACTATTGGTGTCATATTTGAAATATTGGGTCGTCGTTATTCTTTTAACTATTGTTATTTTAAATTGATTCTTAATGAGTTAATATCAGTTAAATAAAATAATAAATCTCAACATCACATGGCCACCACAATGGATATATTTCTTGGTAAGGATTAAAATTTAGTAAATTCTTGTTTTCTATTTTGTACATCTTGCTGTACTTTTCCTTAGTCATGAGTTTTTTTTTTATGATGAAATAAATTGCTGGATTACTATTATTTCTAAAACTCGCCAACAGATGGCATTATTTTCTCTTTCAAGGACAATAATATTATATGCAGTGGTTACAGTTGTAATCATGTGGACATAAATACATTTTGTATTGTTAATTCAACCACTTATATTATACAATAAAGCAGCCTTATCTTTATGTAAGAATTAAAACCTTTATTAACTTATGCCTAATTACATCCAATGTGGTTGATTTCTCAAAAAAATAAATTAAAAAATAGTAAAATAATGATTTCAAACATGCATACATGATTGTAACCATAATGTAAAGAGAATATTAATTGATAATACACATGTTACAATATTATATTTTTTGCATAATGAAATTTGTTTTATTTCTATAAAAGTGAAATAAGACATAAAATGAAAACATATAATGAAATTTGTTTTATTTCTATAAAAGTGAAATAAGACATAAAATGAAAACACCAATGTTTCCACGTGCACAATAACTTAATTTGTATAAGATTAAAAGAAATATGCTCTACATGTTTTGGTTTACAACATGGTCCACCATTTTCAGGAAAAAAAAGAAAGGCACATGAGGTTTGTGTACGTACTTGAGTATATGTACGAGTGGTGCTTATCACTGAATCGAATTCCAGAAACGAGTGAAATACTTAAAATGTACAGAAAATAGAATAGTGTGTAGTGTTAAAAGTTCTTTCTATGAGGCGTAAAGATGCCAGAACTGACACTAAATTAAAGCAACAACTACCAGATGAAATTGTTTTCATGTAAATGTTTTCATTATGGATCAAAATGAAACGATTCGACAAGAAAGACTGTGGATTGTACTTACTTAGCAGTGGAAGTGTTCTTACTAGTGAGGGAGAGATTGAGGCAGGTTTTTACAAAGTTTGACATATAGTTGAGGAAATGATAAGCTACGTAGTAGCTGTGAATATACAGTGATGTTTTTTCTATAAATGTTGGATCATTGTATTTGCTTGTACTTAATAATTTAAAAGAAAATAATCTACTTTTAAGCGTACATTCATGGAATGAAACGTGATGGTGAATTTCTTTGAGGTTTTTATTAACGCATTAGGATGCATCGAAAATATAAATTTCTTGTATCATTATCGGTAGGGTATGCGATTGGTGCCTCTTAATAGTAGTAATTATGTGGGTAAGTTTCAGGCTTCTAAAAATATATCTTGTACTGCGAGTGGGGGGTTATTTTCCTTAAAATATCCGTAATCGAAGTATATGAGAAATCAAAGTACCATAACTTTGATGTGCAACATTTAGCTGATTTAGGAGTTTATATCCATGAACTCACCATGAGAAGGTAGTTGCATGTCGAGTTCCACCCATGCCCAACTAACTATTCTTCCACTGGGCAATAGAATTACCGGATTATGTATTGTTTCTTAGTGTTAAGTTTTTCATGATTTTGCGAGATTGAAGTTTTGGTTTAATGAATCCCTTTCTTCTGCACAGGCTCAAATAGCTGCTGAAGCTTCTGTTACTCTTTTAACATGCCTTTCAACTGTTTGTGTGTGACACGGCATGCTGAACTTGGCATGAAAATTGGTGTGTTATCTTCATTAATGAAAGACAGCAACTGTTCATTGCTTATATTTTTTGTAAGTGGTGGCTTTACTCTCAGTCCACATTATTATATCAGTGTAATGTTGTATTAAAATTTGGAAGCACAAACTGTCTCTTTGTGCTAGAATGTGAGGTAGATCCAGCAGCTAATATTCTACGAAGAGCAGGTTTTCTGGGTGGGCAAAATATGCACTTGCCTGGATTACATTGGAAGCGGTGTCCTCATCTGTTTATTTATTTTAGATGTAGAAAGTGCAGTAGTAGCAAAATAATCCAAACGAGTCGTTAATTAACTATTTAATTTGGTGGAGAGATGATACACTTTTGTTTTTTTTCAAACTCTGGTAGTTTGTAGCAGTTGAACGTATAATTGGAGGAATTTCATGCTGCATAAGATTAATTCTTACAATAAAAGGCAACTATTGCACACCCCACTGATTAGTGATTACAAAATAAGATGTTTGACTAAGTAAATTTGATGCACCCTAATGTACCTCGGTAGGTGGGTATGTTTTTCTTTTTATCAGCTGATATTTTCATTATTTTCTTATAATTAATACTAATTTTCTTTCCTTTTAACTGTTGTTCTTCAGTGAATAAAATAATATCCTTTCTAATCATGAGCGATGTCGTAGATCATGGCTGGTTTTTGTTTTCCAGAACAACTTCCATAATGGAGTATACCCAGGATCCCTCAGAAGCTTTTTTGTTATTTACGTCATAGTTGCGTCACTGTATTTTGCTGGAATTGACCTTTCCTATGGATTAATTAATTATTTCGAGTCGTGGATACCAGGGTAGGCAGAATTTTAACTACATTAAATCTGTAAAAAGACTTTAAAACTATTGTTTTATCGATTTAAATTGATTTTTTGATTAATTTTGAGGATTTAGTAGTTTTTAAGTGTAGTAATTGAATGTCTTGTGTCATTTCTGTTTTACATACATACATATATATATATATATATAAAATAAATTAATTAAAACTAAATATTCATGAAATAATCTGTTAATTAAGTCACACAAAGGACAAAAGGAACTTTAATCTGTTAATTAAGTCACACAAAGGACAAAAGGAACTTTAATCTGTTAATTAAGTCACACAAAGGAGAAAAGGAAAGTTAATCTGTTAATTAAGTCACACGAAGAACAAAAGGAAAGTTAATCTGTTAATTAAGTCACACGAAGAACAAAAGGAAAGTTAATCTGTTAATTAAGTCACACGAAGAACAAAAGGAAAGTTAATCTGTTAATTAAGTCACACGAAGAACAAAAGGAAAGTTAATCTGTTAATTAAGTCACACGAAGAACAAAAGGAAAGTTAATCTGTTAATTAAGTCACACAAAGGACAAAAGGAACTTTAATCTGTTAATTAAGTCACACGAAGAACAAAAGGAAAGTT